GAAGTTTCTGAATAGTTAAACAAGAGAAAGCTTTGTGTCACTTAAGAGTTTTGGGTTTGTTTCCTACTTTTTTGATATTTGGGATAAAACTTCTGAACTAACTTCTTTAGTTTCTTCTATTATTGTATACTTTCTTTGGGCTTGTATTACTGTCAAATTACTACTTACTAAAATTAAGTAATGGTCAGTGGTGATTGGAAGTGGGTGTTAATTTATTTGCTCTGTTTGTCAGAATGGGGTGATGTCGGGTCTGATGCAGATTCTGCTGCTCAAAGTTTCAGCTCACATCACCGAGCAACTGGGCATGGCGCCTGGAGGAGAGTTTAGGGAGGCCTTCAAAGAGGTAACCCGTGCACACAAATGCAACATAGTGGAGAATAATTTGATTATGTATTGTTGTTTTTGTTTTGTTTGTTTAAAAACTTTTGCCTTTCTCTTTTAGGCTGGCCGGGTACCTTTTTGTAAATTTCATCTCGGGGATCGGCCAATTCCTGTGACGTTTAAGAGAGCCATCGCTGCTCTCAGTCTCTGGCAGAAGGCCCGTCTGGCCTGGGGTCTTTGCTTTCTGTCAGACCCAATCAGGTATAAATTCATCTTGATCGCTTTCTGTCACACAGCGATTCAATCGGCCCTTCGGGGGACGGAATGCCGTGTCTACCTCCAGATCTTTGTGAGTTGTTGTTTCTTTTTTTTCCCCCTCTAAACATATTGTGAGAACAGTATTTCATGAGACAATGTATGTAGTTCCCTATCTTTAGGGAACCACTTTTTGTGAAATATTGTCTCACATTCATAACTTTTTATTACGAATATTTGAATGAATAAAACTGAATGTAATCCGAGACCAATGAATGCATCGGTATTAGGGGGGGAGGGGAGGGGAGGGGGGGGGGCATTGCAACAGGCATGCCATTATTGTTGAAGTAAATCTAAAATAATAATACTAATAACTCCAAGTAGCTTTCTATTGGTAAAATAGTAAGAACTCTATTTTTTGTCATTTAAATGCACGTGCTAAGGATTATATTAGTGTATTCCTCTCTAAGGTACTTTTTAAATGTAAATTTCTACAATTTAGCATAGTGCATTATGTACCTTCCCTCACATAATATAATGGTTATAGTAAGACATGACTTTAATTG